AAAACATTGAAGAAAAAATATATGACCTCCAGGCTGGGTTGACAAACAACTGGGAATGAAGAAGCAGATTACATCTGGCCTTGGGGAATAATCTATTAATTACAAAATTTCTAGACCCTAAAGAGAATCCATCATCATCCCTGAAATCCCTTGACTCCTACCTCTTTCAAAAACAAATACTGCCCTGGCCTGTGTTTCTCAATGATTAGTGTCATCCCATGTACTGAAGGGTAGAAGGTTCGATTCCAAGTGAAGGGCATGTACCTGGGTTGTAGGTTGTTTTTTTTTTTTTTAAATGTTTTTTTTTAAAAATATATTTTATTGATTTTTTACAGAGAGGAAGGGAGAGAGATAGAGAGTTAGAAACATCGATGAGAGAGAAACATCAATCAGTTGCCTCCTGCACATCTCCTACTGGGGATATGCCCGCAACCCAGGTACATGCCCTTGCCCGGAATCGAACCTGGGACCTTTCAGTCCGCAGGCCGACGCTCTATCCACTGAGCCAAACCGGTTTCGGCCCTGGGTTGTAGGTTTGATCCCCGACACCAGTCAGGGCGAATGTGGAGGCAACTAATCAATGTGTCTCTCTCACATTGATGTTTCTCTGTCTCTTTCTCCCTCTCTCCCCCACTCCTGCCTCCCTTCCACTCTCTAAAAATCAATGGAAAAAATATCCTTGGGTGAGGATTAACAAACAAACAAAAAAAAAAACCAAACCAAAAAAACAAACACAAATACTACTGAAGAACACTTGTACACTGTTGCTGGAAATGTAAAATGATTCAGCTACCACAGACAACAGTATGACAGTTCCTAAAAATATTAAACAGAATTACCATAGGATCTAACTACTCCATTTCTGGGTATATATCCAATAAAATTGATAACAGGGTCTTGAAGGGCTATTTTTACACTACTGTTCATAGTAGCATTATTCACAACAGCTGCGACGTAAAAGTAACTTAAGTGTCCATTAAAGGATGAACAGAGAAGGAAAATGAGATATACTTACAATGGACTTAACAAGAAAGGTAATTCTGATACATTCTAGTGTCGTGGATGAACCTTGAGAACAGTATGTTAAGTGAAATAAGCCAGTCACAAAGCAGCAAATACTGTATGATTCTACTTATATGACCTATCTAGAGTAGTCAATTTCATAAAAACAGAAAATGGCATAATGATGGTTGGCAGGGATGGGGGAGGGGGAAATGAGGAATTATTATTTAATGGGTATAGAGGTTCAGTTTTTCAAGATGAAAAATTTTGGGGGAGTGGTTGCACAACAATGTGAAAATACCTAACACTACCAGATTGTACTTTTGCATGAATAAGATAGTAATTTCTTTTATCATATGTGTTTAACTACAAGTTTTAAAATGTTTATCTTTATATGTGCAAAAAAGAAAACAACCCCAAACACACAAACTCCAAAAAAATCTGCTAAAATAGTCTACTTCTAAGAAGAGTTTCAGAAATATACAGGGTTTGGCAAAAGTAAGTTTATAGTTGTTCATATGGAAAAATATATAATCCTATCCTATATAATAAAAGCCTAATATGCAAAGTGTCCAGTTGTCCGTTCAACCAATCAAAGTGTAATATGCTAAGGATATGCTAAGGTTGCTCAACCGCTCACTATGATGTGTACTGACCACCAGGGGGCAGACAGTTGACCGGTCAACCAGTTGCTATGATGTGCACTGACCATGTGCTCCAACCAGTAGGTTAGCTTGCTGCTGGGGTCCATTGATCGGGACTGAGCAAGACAGGCCGTACACACCCTGGAGCCCTCCCGTGGTCTCTCCCCGGCCGGCCAACCTCCCACGTCCCTCCCTGATCCCGATGGTGCACTGATGGGGTCCCTCAGTCTGGCCTGCACCCTCTCGCAATCCGGAACCCCTCGGGGGATGTCGGAGAGCCAGTTTCGGCCCAATCCTGCAGGCCAGGCTGAGGGACTCCACTGCTGCATGAATTTGTGCACCGGGCCTCTAGTACAAGAATAAACTCTGTTATTATATGCTGTCTTAGAACCCTATATCCTGCCTTTACAGTGATTATGACCAAACAAATACTGAGTCATTAGTGTTTATCAACAGTCTCCCCTGCTAGCTGTAAGTTCTATGAGGGGAGACAGGGCCCATGTCTTTTCTTTGGTTGATACATTCAGCCTGGCAGAGGGTTGAGCAAAATTAATTAATAGGATTATCCCAAATTGGGTTTCTAGGATAAAAACAGCTAAAATTCTGAAGCCCCATAGAATTAATCATCATTCCCTCTCCTTGCCTTTTCCAATTAGTAAGTTTTCCAGAACACCACCTCCAAAGAAAAAGAATCCTATCCTATAGATAGGACTCAAAAATGCTCTGCCTGCCACCTGTTTATCATTCATTCATTTCACTCGAACATGTAGTAAGCTATACACAAATACAGATAAATACCAAGTATCTGCACTTAAAGCATTTCCACTCTGGTGGAGAAGCTAGGAAATACTATTTTATTTTCCTGTAAAAACCAACCAAACCAACCTATGCTTTAGCACAGGTTCTAGAATAAGGCTGGGTTCAAATCCTCACCCCACTACTGACTAGCTGTGTAACCTGGTCACCTAACCTCTCTGTGTCTCAGTTTCCTCATCAGTAATACGGTGTTAATAATGATACCTAAAAAAAATAAATAATAATGATACCTAAAAACAAACAAAAAAACCCAAACAACAATAATGATTATCAATTTCGTGGGATTGTGAGACAAATTGATAATCATTTGTCTGCTAAGTACAGACAAAAGTACTTAGCAAAGTGTATAGTACATAGAAAGGCACAACTGCTGTTAGCCCAAATGATAATAGCTCCAGCTGAAACCGGTTTGGCTCAGTGGATAGAGCGTCGGCCTGCAGACTAAAAGGTCCCAGGTTCGATTCAGGTCAAGGGCATGTACCTTGGTTGCGGGCACATCCCCAGTGGGGAGTGTGCAGGAGGCAGCTGGTCGATGTTTCTCTCTCATCGATGTTTCTAACTCTCTATCTCTCTCCTGTCCTCTCTGTAGAAACTCAATAAAATATATTTAAAAAAAATATATAGCTCCACAGCAAGGCTTAGACTTCTACTCCTTTCTGCAGTACAGCACAGACAGGTAAACATGGGCTAGCCACGCAGGTCAACATTTCCACTTCCTGGTGCATCAACAAAGCTAAAACTTCATATCATAAATAGGAGTTCTGTAATAATGAGGCCATTATTTTTAGTACTCTCCTATTTAACAAGCCTGCATAGGCAACATATATTTTCAAAAGTAATACAAGTTAATATTTTCAAAAGTGTATGGCTGTGTTGTTGTAGACACTAAATTTCATGCCAACTACATCCCTTCTCCACAAAAATAGATATTATTTCCTCACTTTACCGATTTTAACTTTTGCATTTTTTCCCCATATTGTAGAAACATACTTATTAGAAATAACAAATGCAACGGAGGTCTAAAAATTGCCACAAGGCATTTGTCTCTCTTAAGGGCAACATGGTGTCTTTTATTGATATAAGACCCCAAGGAGATGTCTTTGTGATCTTTAGTTGCAATCAATAAAGTGTTTTTTAAAAAAACTTTATTGGGCAACTACTTACTACATAGCAGGCACTGTTCTAAATAAGCACTGGAGATAAAGAGATGTAAGAAATATGCTCTCAGCCCTCAAGGAACTTGGTTTGGCAGAAGAAACCTACTATACAAACATGGCCCTACTGTGTCATACACAGCAGATCCGGGCACTGGGTCCAAAGGAAGGTCAGCTGTCTCTACTGGGTTGGGTCAGGGAAGAGAACAGAAAGGACCCTTGAACTAAGTCCTAAAGGATGAGCAAGAATGGTCCAGACAGATAAATAATGAAGGACATGGCAGCGCCCACAGAAGGAACTGCAGGCTGGGGCAAACACAGGGAGCCATGAAACCTCACAATAGACTGGGGTCCTGTTCTGTGCAACCGAACACAAAGCTTGGGTACAAGAGGGCAAATGAAGTTGGAGAGATCAACAGGAGCCGACTTGTGGACCAGGGGTGGGCAAACTTTTTGACTCGAGGGCCACAATGGGTTCTTAAACTGGACCGGAGGGCCGGAACAAAAGCATGGATGGAGTGTTTGTGTGAACTCATATAAATTCAAAGTAAACAGCATTACATAAAAGGGTATGGTCTTTTTTTTCAATAGTTTTATTCATTTCAAACGGGCCGGATCCGTAGTTTGCCCACGGCTGAACCGAGAGTCGTCTGCACCAAGGATAATGATGTAAACAATGTACGCTTTAGAAAGATGAGTGGGCTCTACGACTCCCACGAGGGGGCTGTCCTGAGCTGGGGGTCCCAACTCGCGCAGCCCCGGATCCACGGACGACTGGTCCCCTTCTCCCCGCCTTGGTCAGCACTGCTCCCCCGCCCGCCGCGCGCCCCTCCGCCTCCCGGCGCGCCCCTGCGGTCTGGCTTCAGCAGGACCTCCGGGCAGGAGACTGGGCACGCGCTATCACCCGGCGGCCTCCTCCAACGGGACCGGAGCATCATTCCGGAGGCTGGCAGACCTGGGCTTCAGCGCTGGGCTCGGCCCCTACTTGTGTGACCACTAGGCTTGCCTCAGTTTCCGTGCGTTCAGTGGCAGACGCCGGGGGAGAGCCGGCGAGGGGCGGACCCCAGCGCCGAGTGACGGGGTCGCGCGCGGCGGGCTCCGCCCCGACTGGAGCCGGCGGGAGAGCGGGGTAAGCCAGGCCGTGGGTGGGTGGGAGGGCGGGGCGGCTCACCGGTAAAAGGCAGAGTCCCCGAGCGGGTTCCAGTTCGCCGTGTAGCAGTCCATGGCTGGTGCAGGGGGCTGCGGGGCAGCGCTGAAGGGACTCCTACCTAGCCAGGGCTCCGGGCCGGCACTTCCGCTTCCGCCCTCCCGGGTCACGTGGCGAGGCCGCCGCCACTGCCTGGAGCGCTCTGGGCAGCTGCGTTCGGCTGCCGCCGCTCCCCCGCCCACACCCGGGCCTAGTGCCCGCCTCGGTGGGCCTGGCTCTGGTTCCTGCCCCGACACGGCAGCCAGCCCCGCCTCCTTCCTGTCCCCTCGGGCATTGAGGGTGCACAGGGCGGGACATGGGTGACCGGAAGTGGGAGCTATGAGCGTCGCTGCCCCGGGCGCCGAGGCTCGAGGCGCCGTCGGGGCCGCCGCGACGCACGCATGGAGAACGATGGGCGCCGGGCTTCGTACCGACGGCTAGCCGGGTCGCACGGGCTCTGCGGGGCGGGGACTGTGCCGCACCGACCGACCTCCCCGGGCGCGGGAACATGAGGCCAGGCCTGGAGCTCACTGCAGGCGAGGCGCGCGGTGCGCGGGCCTGCCCTGTTCGCGGGTGAACTGCCCGGCGCTCCGGGAATCGGTAATTGGCGCGAGCGGGTGCGCGCGCATGCGCGAGGCGGCGGCGGGCACGTGGCGGGGCGCTGGGCGGCGCCGGGCGGGAAGCGCCTCTGTGCCCCGGAGGCCTCCGTGCCTGGCGACCCCCTGCCTCTGGCGCCCGCGGTGGCCGAGGCCCGCGCCACCATGGGCCCCACTCTGCCGCCACCGCCGCCTCCTGGTCCCTGGAGCCTGGAGCTGCTGGGGAGGGGCCGGCGCTGCTCTCATTTCTCCCGCGTTGGGCCCTGCGGCCGCCCCGCCCCGCGTTCCCGCCCTCGCGCGGCTAAGTGGCCTCTCCCTGCAGCCCGGTCCGTGTCCACAGCGCCATGGTCTTCTGTCTGGAGAACACGGAGCCGCGCCACCCCCGGCGAAGCACCATGGTCCACCTCCAGGCCTCGGAAGTCCAACAGCTGCTACACAACAAGTTCGTGGTCATCTTGGGGGACTCAAGTGAGTGCTCCTCTAGGATCACATGTCCCAGTCCCGCACCTGCAGCCTGTTTTCTAAGTCTGGAGACTTTGCCTCCATCTCTCACCTCCTCTCTGACCCCTAGTTTATTCCAGGCCAGTAGGTTTTCTCATTTTATTTCCCTGTGCACCTTCACAGGTGTCCTGACAGATGTAGCCTGTCAGGCTTTTCACACCATCTTGCTTAGCGGTTTTTTTTCCTCCCTGACATCGCCCATAATTTCCCTTATGGGAGCAGGTGACTCGGCTGACTTCTGCTAGCTAGGTGATCTCAGGTCCCTGTATATGTACTAAGTTGGGGGTGGTGCACAACTAGAAGGATCGGTGGCAGTGCCAGGACTTCTGAACCTCACCCTTTCTCCTGCCTCAAAGTCAGCACCCCAAAGAAGTGGTGTTGGGCAACCCCAGCCCTAGGACTTGGGAGACACGGAGACGGGGTGAGGCTTGCCTTAGCCCTGGGATCTGTCTCCCTGCAGTCCAGCGAGCTGTGTACAAGGACCTGGTGCTCCTGCTCCAGAAAGACTCGCTGCTCACAGCCGCCCAGCTGAAAGCCAAGGTGAGGGAAACTCGGTAGCCATGCCAGTGGTGGGTGGGCACAGACCCTGGCCTGGCAGGGTTCTCCTCCCTGGCATGGGTCTGACCAGCTGGGTATGGGGGTGGGCAGGGGGAACTGAGCTTTGAACAGGACCAGCTGGTGGCTGGGGGTCAGCTGGGCGAGCTGCACAACGGGACACAGTACCGAGAGGTCCGCCAGTTCTGCTCGGGTTCTGGCCACCACCTTGTGCGCTTCTACTTCCTCACCCGAGTTTACTCCGAGTACCTGGAGGGCGTCCTGGAGGAGCTGACCTACGGGCCTACTCCGGACCTGGTGATCATCAACTCCTGCCTCTGGGATCTGTCCAGGTTGAGGCGAGGGGAGAGGGAAATAATTGGTTGGGGGTGGAGGTATGGCTCAGAGGCCATCTGCCTCTGTGCTGTTGCCCACCCCCTGTGCTGCCCAACAGGTATGGCCGCTTCTCAATGGAGAGTTATCGAGAGAACCTGGAGCGGGTGTTCATGCGCATGGACCAGGTGTTGCCAGACTCCTGCCTGCTGGTGTGGAATATGGCAATGCCCCTGGGAGAGCGTGTCACTGGGGGCTTCCTTCTGCCTGAGGCAAGTGACCCAGCCCCAGGATGGAAGGAGGGGACCGTTGGTTAGTAGGTAGAGGACCGCCCATCCACAGCCTGCTTCACTCTGTGGCTCTTAGATGCTGTACTTTCTCTCAGCTCCAGCCCCTGGCGGCCTCTCTGCGTAGGGATGTGGTTGAAGGGAACTTCTACAGTGCCACGCTGGCTGGGGACCACTGCTTCGACGTCCTGGACCTCCACTTTCATTTCCGGCATGCAGTACGGCACCGGCACCGGGACGGTGTCCATTGGGACCAGCATGCCCACCGACATCTCTCACACTTGCTTCTGACCCATGTGGCTGACGCCTGGGGTGTGGAGCTGCCCAAGCGTGACTACACCCCTGGTGAGCCCTATCATGAGTGGGGAGGGTCGTGATGCAGAGAGGGCCCTCATAGCACAGGGCGCACAAACAGAACAGAACAGAGGTACTCTAGGGGAAATAGAGGCCCCTTAAGGATGGCTTCTTTCTCCCCCCCTGGGGAGGGTAAGATCACATGAGCAACAGGGCAGTCCAAGTTCTAGTTCTTTGGTCTTCTACAAGCATTGAGTACATGAGACAGCCTGTCAAAAGATCCCTACCCTGCAGATGAACTAGAAAGAAATGGGAGTACTTTGAGCTAGGCACGGAAGTGAAGGGTAGAAAGAAAGACAGGGAGGAAGGCCAAGCCAGGCAGTGTGCAGAAGTCCCTTGGCTGGTGCTGTCAGCCTCGGTTCCCGCCCGCTCCAAAGGGGACATCATGGCTGAGTGTTTCTCCGTCTGCTTCTCCTCTGGATCACGTCCTCAAAGGAAAAGTTTCCTATCTCCCTTGTTGACGGCTCACGAGCCCTTTTGCTTCTGTGTTTAGCACAATTGCTGCGTGCACAGTATCTACAGGTTAGTGTTTGATGAATGAGAGACATGAGTTGTGTTAGAAAGCTGTTTATCAAAGCACTGGAGTTGATGGTGGACAGGCCAGGAATGTCACAGAGGCAGACTTTTGGGGCTTGGCAGCCAGGAGTTGGAGCATCAGGGAGGTAAATTAGGACTTTGACTATATAATGGTCCAATTTCCTTGTTTTTTTTAGATGAAAGAACTGATCCCCAGCAAAGAAGGGATGCTCTAAAGGCCATAAGGCTAGATTGCGGTGGCTCAGGTCTCCTGAGTCCAGTTTACAGCTATAGAAATAGGGGCATCAAAAGGCAGAGTTGGGTGGGAGACTGAGTTGGTGAGTTTGGTCAGGACAGTTCTGTTTGAGGTACTGTGGAAAGGTGGAGTAGATTTGGAGTCAGTGGCGTTCACAGAGAGATGGAAGCTGAAGGGCATGAGTGTGAACCTCAGAGAAGACAACAACAGCCACATTTTGGAGGTGGAAGGAAAGAGAGGCTAATGGAGGAAACCAAAGGAGATGAAGGTAGAGGCATTTTCAGGGAGGATGAGGCTATTGGCCATGTCATGTGACCCTCAGGAAGAAAGGAATTTATTAAATTTGCCAGGAAGTGGCTACATTTAGTGGGAAAAGTGTTGCAGAATTGGAGCAGGGGTAAAAGAGGTAGTGAGCAATTGCTGAGGGGATGGAAATTGGGCACAATACTCTGGACATTTGAAAGGAGCAGGCACTACTGGGGGAAGAGGGTGACAGGATCTTTATGTTTATGAGAGAAGATTTACAAACTTATTTATTGCTCTGCAGTTAGTTGCTCGGAGAGGGAAAGACTAAAGACCCAAGAGCTGGGCAAACAAAGGTAGAAGGCTCTTTGGAGGGGAGCATGAGGTCAGAACAAAGGTGGATCTGCTGACTTTTGGGAAAGGCAAGGGAGAAGGAACACACCTTGGGCTTGGCCTGAAATGAGAGGGAATGAGGAAAACTGGGTAGATGGCAGAAGGTACTCCCGCCTGGAGGAGGGAGTAGAGGTTTAGGAGTGTGGAGGGCTAGAGTTCAGGGCAGCCTGGCCGCTCAGGCCTTCCTAAAACAACCATCCCATTCCTAGACCCATGGATTGAGGACTGGCCAGAGCCGGATCATCTGTTCCAGGGGAGCCAGGGGCAGCCCCCAGACTTTGGGGAGCAGCTGGCCTTGCCCCCACCTTCTCCCTTGCCCCCTCCCATGCCTTTTCTCTACCCGCTTCCTCAGCCCTCCCCACCTCCCTTGTTCCCACCCCTGCCCCAGGATGCCCCTTTCTTCCCATGCCAGCCCTTCCCACCCCATGAATTCTTCAATTATAATACAACGGAAGACTTCTCAGTGCCACCCCATTTAGGTAGGTGCCTCTGCAGCCTCCCATCACAACTTTCCCAGCCTCTCCTTGCACCTTTCCCAGCCTAGCCTCCTGTGTTCAGGCAGACTGAGAGCAGTTGGATAACCCTTGTGCCTCCCCACCCCTCCTTAGGATTGGGTTCAGTCATAGCTGAGTCTAGAACAGCGTTTGTGACTCAATCAGCTCATTGATTGTCACCGTTTCCTGATGTGGAGGAAGTATTACCATTTTGTACATGGGGAAACTGAAGCCCAAAGAAACTCACCCTGGAGGATCAGAGCAGCCTAAAGGCAGAGCTGGGCTCCCCCTGGCTGGAAGCCCACTCTGATAAATGACGTTCTTTTGTAGGATGTGGCCCTGGAGTGAACTTTGTGCCTGGTCCACTGCCACCTCCAGTTTCTGGCCCTCTCCCCCATGGTCAGCACCGGGGCCCGGTGGTCCACCGGGGAATGCCACGCTGTGTTCCCAGCAGCCCCTACCATGTGCCGAGGATGGGGGGACCCTGCAGGCAGCGGCTCAGACATTCAGACAGACTGGTCCACACATACAAACTGGACAGGCGGCTTCCGGCACATTCGGGGACATGGCCGGGGTAGACTGGACCTTGGGCTGGGGCTGGATGTGCCAATGGCCCTGCAGGGCCTGCCTGCCACCCAGGTGCTGGGCCATGGTGTTGCTGTGCCTGGCATTGTTCTTGTCCATTGCTGTCACCAATAAAGGCCTGGAAGAACAGAGTGGCATCTTCCTGTGTCTCCCAAACCATGACCTGAAGAGTTGGGAGGCTGCCTCTGGGCTCTTTCCAGCTTTGGACCTTTCACCTCACGTTAGAAATCACTGAGTGTGACTTTCCTGTTGCCTCACACCCTCTTTCCCACCAGGACACACACACTAAAAAAGATCTCGGCAGGTTACCTCTCGTCAGCAGTTCTCCGGGGTTGGGATAGCAAGGGCTGAGTTGAAATTGTCAACATTTTTACTTCATTTAATCAATTTTGGTTGATTAATTGATTTTAGGGAGAGGAAGAGAGAAACATTGATTTATTGTCCACTTATTGTTGCATTCCTTGGTTGATTTTTTAAAAAGATTTATTGATTTTTAGAGAGAGGGAGAAAGAGAAACATCATTGTGGGAGCACAACATTGAATCAAACCAGCAACTAGCAACCTCTTGGTGCACAGGACAATGCCCACATTGGTTGATTCTTGTATGCGCCCTGACCAGGGATCAAACCCCCAACTTTGGTGTATTGGGGCGATGCTCTAACAAACTGAGCTATTTGGCCAGAGCGAAATTGTCAACATTTTATATGGAATTTATGGATCTGGCTAATTCTTACCTATACCAGTCTCTCTCATGTATTCATGTGTACATTCAACATTCATCTGTTCCTGGAAATAGACACATACCTTGCACAGTTCTTGGCATATAGTGGACACTCAAGTGATTGGAACTAATCAAGAAGCTCCCAAACCCAAGTGGGAGACTGATTAGAAATCCATTATTTAATAAATAGAATGTGCACTAAGGGCAAAGTGAACACAGACCTTATTTGGTGGGGGGGCGAGGGGGGGGAGGAATTCCAGGGTGAGGGTAGAGGATGTGTCAAACTCTGTAAGGAAGAAAGTACAGGGTCTCAGCTTTGATGAGCGACTTTAAGTTTGTGACTAAGCATCAGGAGTGACTTGGGCTAAATGGTGGCATGGGGTGGAGGATGGAGTGTGGAGTAGGAAAACAAGGAAACAGACCCACAAATAATCTTCAAGTAGAATTGGATGGAAGAGAGGAATGCAGAGATGTACCAATGGCCTGCCTGCCACCCAGGCATTCTTTCCATACTTTATTGAAATTTTACCTTGGCAAAGGATATAACACCTAACAAATGGAAATAGACCACAAAAGTGTTGATCCTTGCTAGCAATCTAAGTGCAAGTGAAGCTGCTAAGTTAGCACACGCTGGTGTTGGGGAAACTGGTACATTAGTAGACAGAGCCCTTTAGAGAGCAACCTCAACAGAGCAGTTGAGAATCAAAGGAGACAGTGCCTGAAACAAGGTTGGTTTTCTTGGGTAGAGCCCCAAAGTGGACAGGAACAGACATACATAAAAGCAAGCCTTTTGTTCAGGAGATAAGATAAAATACTTCCTTTGTTAATAAAACCCATCCTTTGAGCAGCCCTCTTCAGCTGCATCCAGCTTGTCCAATCCCATGTTTGCTCCTTTCCGCCTTTCCTCAAAACCTATTCTCTGTCTGGACATTTTGCACCTCTGCTTCTGAAGCTTCTCGGTACTGCTGGAGAAAAACTACACCTGGACAGATTTACAGAAGAAAATCATGAATTACTCAGCCTCATGGGACCCCTCTCTGTTGCTTGCCATCCTGTTCTCTAAGAATTCCGTCACCTTCCCTACTGAGCCTTTCCTAGGCTTTTCCACTCTTTTCAAACCCCATCCCAGATCTGGAACTCTCACCTTGTAAGCACCTTGAGACTGCAGAGGGCTCCATGTCCCCATCATCTTACCTCTGCACGTCTAATTTCCACCCCCATCTTGCTGTGTGTCTCCCAACATTTTCTTCAGTGCCCCAACATAGATTTGAAGGTCATCACAACAATGGATGGTGATAAGTTATCTTCAGTTTGTTGTCATATAAGCTTACAATACAAGACACTTGACCTCTGCATTATAGATTTTATTCAGTCATGACTGGAAACAAGAAACTTAAACAGCCACATACAAGTCATTACATGCATTTGAATTATTTCCCGGCCATTGTTTTGAGATATGAAAACGATGAAAATCATATGTTCCTCCAGCGTGTGTGTGTGTGTGTGTGTGTGTGTGTGTGTGTGTGTGTGTATTGATTTCAGAGAGAGGAAGGGAGAGGGAGAAAACATCAATGATGAGAGAGAATCATCAACTAGCTGCCTCCTGCATGCCTGCTACTGGGGATTGAGCATGTGCCCTGAATAGGAATCAAACCATGACTTCCTGGTTCATGGGTCGACGCTCAAACACTAAGCCACATCAGCCAGACTAGATTCTTGGTTTTAATGTTTTCCCCAGCTACATTATTTTTTTTATTTCATCTACTTTAATTTTTCCATCACCATTTATCCCTTCTGTGCCCTCTTCCACCTCCCCTCCCAGGCCCTCCCACAATCACCACACGGTTGTCCATGAGTTCTCTCTTTTTTTTCTTTTCTAATATATTTTATTGATTTTTTACATAGAGGAAGGGAGAGAGATAGAGAGCCAGAAACATCGATGAGAGAGAAACATCGACCAGGGTACATGCCCTTGACCGGAATCGAACCTGGGACCCCTCAGTCCGCAAGCCGACGCTCTATCCACTGAGCCAAACCGGTTTCGGCTCTTTTTTTTTCTTATTTGCTCAATCCCTCCACCCCATAATACTCCCCCAACACACACACACACACACACACACACACACACACACACACACACACACCCCAGAGATGTCTGTATGATTTTTACCTATGAGTCTGTCTCTATTTTGCTGTAGTTCAGTTTGTTCATTAGAAACCACATATGAATTAAATCATCTGGTACTTGTCTGTCTCTGCCTGGCTTATTTCACTTAGCATAATATTCTCCAGGTCCATCCATGCTGTTTCAAAGAGTAAAGTTTTCTTCCTTTTTACAGCAGAATAGTATGCCATTGTGTAAATGTACCATAGCTTTTTTTATCCACTCATCTACTGATGATACTTGGGCTCCTTCCAAATATTGGCTATTGTAAATAACCCTGCAATGAACATAGAGGCTCAGATATTCTTTTGAATTTGTGTTTTGGGTTTCTTTGGATAAATTCCCAGAAAAGGAATCAGTGGGTCATAAGGCAGTTCCATTTGTAATTTTTTGAGATGACTCCATACTGTTTTTCCACTAGATTCTTGTTTTTTAAAGAATGCCTCCAGTGTCCTTTTCTTTGCCATACCAATATATCCCTGAAAGGAGTAGAGGATGCAAGAGCACTTCAGATGTGATGCCAGCCTTTATTTTCCCAGTGTGTGTGTTGGGGGAGGAGGGAGAAGTCTTTTAATAAAAGAAAATTAGTGGATTTTTTTTCAAAACAGTTTAACCAAACAAAGTGTCCCAACAAAAACCGATGACCTGCCTTCTGTTATATAATCCAATTTGTCGCATAGATTGTGTGTTGAGTTCATCTTAGTTCACATATGTTGGTGAAAGATAAAGATAAACTTTCTGATTGCAAAGAAATACACCTATACTTTTTAAAAACCTGCTTCATTAAGGTGTCACTGACAGTAAACTGCACATATTTCAAATGTACGATTTGATATATTTTGACATGTATACATCTGTGAAATCATCATCACAATCAACGAAATGTATCCTTCTGCCTCTTTAGAATCCCTTCCTGCCTCCCATCCCATCTCCTTACTCCTGTCCCCCAGCAACTATTGATACTGCTCTGTTTTCTGTTACTATAGATCAATTTGCATTTCCTAGAATATTATATAAATGGAATCATTCAATGGGTACTCTTTTTCTTCTGGCTTCTTTCACTCAGTCTAATTAATGGGATTGGTGGAACAACATCCATGTCATTGTGTGTATCAGTAGTTCACTTTTTTCATAATTTTGTCGTATTCCATTTTATGGCTAAACCAATGTTTATTTATCCTTTTACCTGTTGGTGGACATTTGTGTACTTTAGTTTTTGGCAATTACAAATAAAGCTTCTATGAATATTTATGTACAAATCTTTGAATAGACATATATTTTCATTTCTCTTGGGTAAACATCTAGGAATGAAATGGCCGAATCATGTGGTAGATGTATGTTTCATTTTTTAAGAAACTACTAAATTATTTTCCAAAGTGGTTTTCCAATTTTACATTCCCCCTAGCAGTGTATGAGGGTTGCAGTTCGTCTATATCCTTGCCTACACTTAATATTAGTTTTTTTAATATTAGTCATTTTAGTAAGTGGGTTGTATGTTGGGTATTTTTAAGATTTTCTTTTTAAATCGATTTTTAGAGAGAGAGGAAGGGAGGGGGGGGGGGGAGAGAGAAACATCACGTGAGAGACACATTAATTGGTTGCCCGGAACCCTTCGGTGCGCAGGCCACCGCTCTAACCACTGAGCACGCTGGGCACGGTGGAAACAACAGATCTTAAATCAAGTTCTTTTATTTTTAAAATGGGAAATATTTGAAAAGTAAGAAGGCAGTATAAAGGATGCACGATCCAAACTATAGAAGGAAATGTTGTCTCAGGAAAAAATAACCTGTCCAAAGTTGGTTACTTCCAGACCCCGACAGACCTCACAAAAGACAGCTTTTTACCCCAGGAGGAACGGGCAGACAGACTAGGGGGTGGGCCAGGAGTCTGAGACACAGTGAAGCCTGCGAGATGGGGCCCTTCCTTCTCCAGGATTCCCAGGAGCTCAGCCCTCTATGCTTCTGGGTTTCTGGTTGGGGGACCCAGGTTGAAGATTTGGGGTCAGGGGTGAGGAATCGACGAAGCCGCCACTGTGAGGACCGTGGACCGGAGATGACCCTCCCCGGAATCCACCCTCGCCTGGCCTGTGAAATGTCTCCCCTCCTTCAACCAACATTCCAGCCCACCCCGATTCTTCGCGGCCAGAGCTGGAGATAGCCGCCAGAGGGCGCCCTTGCACCGTCGGTCCCCTGGTCCGCAAGCTGGGATTCCCTGGCTGTCGATTTTCCAGGACGGCTACCGAGC